CACAAAATAGACTCTTGTGAGCTTTAAGTCGTGTTCAAATGTTGTTACCTCCTCGAAAACAAACCTGGAGTTGTGTTTTGTTTCATTCACGCATGTTTGAGTAATCGTGCATTATTGGGCCACATTTCCGAGGCTTATAATGCTCTGTTCCACCTTGTGATGTCATGAAGGAGTTTTCTTGTTAACAGCTACCTTTAGCTCAGTAGAAATTAGGGCTGGGTATGAATAAGAAGTTGCTGACACAATACATACCTTGATACACAGGCCACGATACAATACATATCTCGATACAGTGCACTTTTGATTCGATATGATATATTTCAAATTGATTTGATAAGGTTCAATAAAAAAATAAAGGCTAAATCATGGCTGTGATACTAAAAGTCTTTGTTAAACCACTTCTTGTGCAAAGTTCATATGAAACACAAACATTTTACTCATCAAAACTGAAAATGTGAAATGTGTCACATACACAAGTTTCCTTCCTCTGAACAAACCAAACTGTAGCGCTGTAACAAAATAATTTAGTAAAATATACCAAAAACACTCTTGGCGATATATCGAAACAGCAGCCCACGATACCGAAACTGTATTATCACATTAAACGATACAATAAATCGATATTTCAATATTTTTGCACACCCCTAGTAGAGATTGGCAATTCCGGGGCTGAAATTAAATTATTCTAGTGAAGGTGTATGGAGTTTAAAAACACAGTGGAGTCACCTGCTTGGTTCTATGGATATGTCATTGCCTGAAATATTCCTCAGTATGACATTAAACAGCTCTAGTTTACATTTATTGAACTACAGTTTTTTTTATAGCTCAAAAACACCTAGAAAAATTGGCATTATTTGAACAATTTCAGTCAAAGCAATAACATCTCCATGCAGAAAAGCATTTGATGGACCCTCCACCAGAAAAGTGACACAATGCAGCTTTAATACGAAGGGTTTGTGCGTTAAACATGTGCAAATGAAACAAAACACAACTCCAGGTATGTCTGTGATGAGGAAACAACATTACAGCACAGATCAGAAAACGGCGTAATCTGAGCCCCTTAATACATTTTCCCTCCATGTTGATTGATCGCAATTTGGATTTAGTTATCATGTTGTTTTATAAATAACAAAAATTTCTTTCAAAGTATTTTCCTGAAGATAAACCATACAGACTTTCAATCAAAGAAAAGACTTCCTCCAAAGTTTGAACCGTGCCAGTAACAACATGTGGTTTGGAGCAGAGTATTGGCTTTAGACCTTTTCATTTTAAAAACATTATAGGGCTCAACGATTTGGGAAAAATATGTAACGGCAATTTTTCTGACAATCAACTGCAGTTGGAGTTGTAATTCATTCTTTTAATGTACTGTTTGCAGTAGTGGAAGGTAATGAAGTAAAAAAGTAAAAGTGGAATACTTGGCAACAAATTTTAGTGTGCATTTTACAGTGGACTATTTACTTTTACTTCACAACATTTGAGAGCAGTTATCTGTACTTTCTACTCCACTGTATTTTAAATTTGGACTAAAAAGTACTGTTCTTTATGGTTTGAGACCAGTTCAAATTGCTGAGACTTATTTTTAGCACATTTATTTTGAGTTAACATCCCAACTTGGAGTAAACCAAATACACAAAAACGGCTAGAAAAATGTTATGCCTGTTTACACGAGAATGCTTGTGGGTAAAAACAACAAAATATTTTATGGGAAGTGCCTTTCGTTTAGACGGTGACGGCGTTTTTGGGGCTTAAAAATACACAAATCTGAAACCACCCTTCAGAGTGGAAAAGTTGAATACGATCCGTCGTAGCGTTTCCGTCTACACTGCCCAAGACGCAAAACTCTGGTCAGATCTGCTCACGTCGCGTACGAGTTTACATCACATACATGTGCCTGGCGTGCATACCCAATCGAATTCCACATACTTTTGCGTCACTGTATGCACTCAGATTTCCTCCCAGAAATGCTCGTCTAAACGCGGAATAAAAAGTGAAGACGCGACGCCACTTTTGCGTTCAGACTGTCATCATATAAACGTAGCCTAAGAAGTCACTTAAAATCAGCTGAATTCCTTTTCAAAATCACTACATTTTATGCTTTAATTGTTCTAAAAATCTCTGCAAAATACTTAGACTTTTTACTTTTAGTGTACATTTATTAAACAGGTACTTCAATAGTTTTACTTAAGTAGATTTTTTCATACTGATGCTTCTACTTGTATAATATTTTGCCACTTTATCGGTGCTTTTAGTTAAAGGTTCACTGTGTATCCCTGTGGTTGGGGGTCCGTCACTTGCTTGTTTCTAAGTAGATGTCATTGCTCTGCTTGAAATGTTCCACAGTATGACATTAAACAGCTCTAGTTTACATTTATTCAACAACAGGTGGTTTTATAGCTCAAAAATACCTAGAAAAACAGGCATTCTGACTGTGAGCGGGGTCACCTCTCCACAAATCTGACCTGGAACTTGGTTTAACACCAGAAAAGTTACACATTGCACCTCTTAAATCGATTTTTCATGCGACACGTTTACATGAGCAATCTTTTCCTCCCGTATCTGTACTTTTACTTAAGTAACAAACTCGAGCACTTCATCCACCACTGATTGTTTGTGGAAGAAACTACGAATTTCCTGATTGCGTCCATTCGAATTGCGATCTTTGCACGATTAGACACGACTGCAGCTTGTTGCGGTTAAACGTTGACCGACTGCCCAACCCTAATTCTCCGTGGACGTGAGTGGGAGCTGGACGTAGCGTAGTGCAGCTGCGTAATCCCTGTAGATACTTAGATACTTCATTGATCCCGAAGGAAATCCAAAGTTGGGCAACAGCAACATGGAAGCAAACATAGCAACATAGAAAAGATACTGTGTGTGTAGTCCTCTGGTGTGTTCCTCGTTGGCGTAGACCTTGTATTTCTACTTCATCTTTTCAGTGTTAAATGTTCTTCGAGTCCTGACTGTTAAACGAATGTTACTGTTGCCATGGCGCTTGTTGTTTCAAGGTCAGTGTTATCCGTTTAAACTCTTTCTGTGTTCAGTCCTGCTTATTCTCCTTCGCTGTGGTAAGACTCTGAGAACTAAAGCTATAACTTCGCTCCTCTGCGTCGAAGGGATCTCCAGCTATGCATAGTGTAGCCACAGACTGCATAGCTGTGAATAGGATTTTATTTAAGGACAGAATAGCGAAATAAAAACACCAATATCATGCACAGCGGGTTAATACAAACAAGACCAAAATAACGAGGCTCACAGCAACAGCAGAGAAGTGACAATTTTGCAATGTAAAGTCAATTGGAAGCTGGAAGTGCCCCCATGGGAACCAGATGGAAAGTTTCCCTGAATTTTACCCTTTATGAAACTAACTTTACATATAAAAAAAAACGCAACACAACATTTTTTTTTCCATTATATATATTGTACATACACAAGTCACTATATATCTCAATATATTTGTTCATACATACACAAAAAAACCCTGCAAAAATGATGTAGTCTCAACTGTGCCGCAACTATTTCAGGATTTGATCTTACATATTTAAATGAAATACATAGATAAGGCCTTCCTAAAAGTGATTCCCCATTCTGAATTATTTTTATTATTATTTTATTATAACTTGTGTTGCGCTGCTTACAAATTATGTTCATGGCAGGTAAAGAAGTTATTAATATTTCTTCCCAAATCAACAGTTACATTTGCTATAGGACACGGGGAACAAGGAAAAATTATTTACAATATGATTTCATTATGGGTGTGCAAAAATATCGAAATATCGTATCATTTAAAGTGATGATACAGCATTGATATCGTGGGCTGCTGTATCGATATATTGCCAAGAGTATTTTTGGTACATTATACTTAATTATTTTGTTAGAGCGTTAAAGTTTTGTTACTTGTTTAGTGAAAGGAAACTCGTTTATGCAGCACATTCGACATTTTCACTGTTTTGATGATTAAAATGTTTGTGTTTCATATGAACTTTGCACAAGAAGTGGATTAACAAAGACTTTTAGTATCTCAACCATGATTAAGCCAATATTTTTTTATTGAACCACATCGAATCGATTTGAAATACATCATATCGAACCGAAAGTGCACTGCATCGAGATATGTATCATATTGTGGCCTATGTATCGAGGTATGTATCGTATCGGCAACTTTTTAATGATACCCAGCCCTAGATTTCGTAGTAAACCTCTGAGCAAATAAGGATTATATTGACATTACATACTGAAAAAATGTGTGCTGCTTCGGGTAGATCGATAAAATTACATAAACCACGCCCGACGTTTGGTCTGGCTACATTTACATTTAATTTTATTACAATATAGAATGCTGATTTTCTGACTCGATACATTACAATGCGTGACGCGGCCGACTAAAGGCCGGCGAAAATGTTCCCACCGAAAGAATGGGACGTTTGAGCTTGGACTTTCAAGCCAGGGCGACGCTTGAGCCGATATTCGCCCACATGCAAATTTCCTATTTGAAACGTGGGGGCTAGTGGTGTAGTTATGTCCATTATTTCCTTCAAACGCAAACGCTGATATGGTAAAACAAAAATGATAGAAATGTGTCTTGTAACCGTTGTTTATCATTTAAAGCCATTGAAACAGCTTTGAAAAAACACAAGTTCAATATTACGACGTGATTGGTACGAACATTGGCCCAGTAAATCGTTGTATTACATCAATTTATAGACTAAATGGGATATCGACTGACCTGATCCATCAAAATTTTCAATCTTGGCGGAGATAGATAGTTGTTACCAGTATTATATCGGTGCAACTTTAGTCAAAGTCACCACACAATCTAACTTATTATTTTCGCTGTTTGTGTATGTCAACTTTTTGCGTGGAGTTGAGATCATTTCCAGCAGAAACCCGCCTCTCCACAAGTTTTTCTTTCCCAAACACTATACTTACTTCTACAGTGAAATGTGACGGCAGCTTCAGTGTTGTGGAGCCCATGTTCACGGCGCTGTGTTGTGTTGCAGGTCCCATGCTCATGCTCCTGGCCTCTGACTGGACATAGCGGCGCTGACCACAAACCTACGACTGAGGTGAGACGCTCTCAGATGCTCTTTTTTTAGAGTTTAAGTTTGCTTGAGAATATCTGCTTTGTTTGCATAACGCTCAGCTTCCATTTAAAGTGTGCGGCATTTATCTTGGTTCCTGCTCCGAAACGCTGAATCGTGTGTTTAGTAGTAGTGTACATTGCTTGGAGGTTGTTTTCTTTGCTTGTAGTTTGTTTAGAGATTATGACAGAGACTGGAATCTTCAATAAGGCCCCAATGATTAATCGACTATAAAAAATAATTCTAGGCATATTTAGTTAACCGTAATTGTTATTCTGGACTATTTAGACTCTAACATTAGCCCATTTGAACTGTACCCAAGCACAGAAAGCCCTTAAAACTTTGGTATGATTGTCCAGTGTGAGGGCACGGCACGGTTCAGACTTTGTCCCGGTTGGAGGAGGAGGGCTAAAGCACAGCACAGAGCTCATGTACGCACACACGCGATTTATGTTTGCAAGCCCTGTCATGTGCGTGGAGAGGATAGAGCTTAAATATGTTAAAATATGTGTTGAAGAAGTTTCGGTGTAGAATAGAAATAGTTGCTTGGTTCAGAGTTATTCCTCACTGCAGCTGCTCGATTATAGAAAAAATCATTATCACGATTATTCCGACAATAATTTTTTAGTTACTCGATGCATTTATTCAGCATTTCTCTCTCTCAAAAAAAACACTTTGTTATTGATAATTTACGCAAAACTTTCAAATTCAAAATAAATTCAGACTAGAAATATGAACCTTAGAGCAGCTTTGCGACGTGTAAAGCATAAAATGAATAAAATATACACATAGAAAAACATAAATGTGTCCAAAATAAAGTATATATCCAGCTGTTGTACGATCTCTATATTTAAAAAAAAATTATAAATGTGCTTATTTATATAAAAAATATCCCAAAATAAACTTTGTTAAGCTTTAAATCATTTCAACTTGATTATATGAGTTTGGAGATCGTTTGACACACAGATCAAAATTATTATCAAAATTCAATTAATTGCACAGCCTTATTCCTCACTTGTAACAATAACTAGCATGCTAAACACGCACTTCCTGATTCTCAGACTATATAAAGCTTTATAATTGGATGCAGACAGCACGCAGCAGACTTATTTTAACCTCAAGAGCTGCTTATGCAATATATCTGTACTATACTGTGTCTCAGGTTTAGGCACCTGCAACCCACATTCAGATTCATTATAAGCGCACAGGCTACATGCAGTTTCTTTTACAGGAAAATTGACTCTTGTGAGCTTTAAGTCATGTTATTACGTTCTCAAAAAAACATGCAGTGGTGTTTTCTTTCATTCACACATTTCACACATGTTTGAGTGACCGTTTATTATTAGTCTGTCTACACAAAGCTGAAAATGCTCTCTTCCAGCATGACTTGACTGCCAATGTAACAGCTCATTTTTACCTTTAGTTCGATAGAGATTGGCAATTCAAGGGCTGAAATGATCCAGATAATTCTAGTGAAGGTGTATGAACTTTAAAAACACAATTGAGCATAGGGCGGGGTATCATTAAGAAGCTGCCAATACGATACATACCTCGATACACAGGCCACGATACAATACATATCTCAATACAGTGAGATTTCATTTCGATACGATTCAATACAATATATTTCGAATCCATATTGATATGGTTCAATAAAGAATTATGTCTAAAGCATGCCTGTGATACTAAAAGTCTTTGTTAAACCATTTCTTATGCAAAGTTCATATGAAACACGAACATTTTAATCATCAAAACAGTGAAAATGTCAAATGTGTCGCATAAATGAGTTTCCTTTCTCTGAACAAGCAACAAAACTGTAGAGCTGTAACAAAATAATTTAGTAAAATATACCAAAAAAACACTCTTGGCGTCATTATCGATACAGCAGCTCATGATATCGACACGGTATCATCACATTAAACGATACAATATATCAATATTTCAGCTCCTTGTATTACCTTACATGACAAGAACTCGACCTAAATATGCAGGATTTGTGCGTTAAACGTGTGTGAATGAAACAAAACATAATTTCAGGTGCGTTTGTGATGAGGAAGCAACATTATAACACAGATGTGAAACTGCACAGCCCTATAACAAAACACAACACACTGTCAGTGAGATGAGAGAAGTTATTAGGTTTAAAGGAACTGCTGTGACCGTTACTGTTTCATAAGCGGTCAGTGTGTCTAAGCTTTGACCATCCTGCCAAAAGTAATGTTCTTAAGTGTGGCTGCGGTCCACCTGGTGACCCAATTAGATGACCAGGGTTTCGTAAGCTCTAAGCACTAGTTTGACTTCAAGCTGCCGCGGCCGGTCTGTTATTCTGAAGCCATTTTATGACAATACACGAAAAGGACTCCCGACAATGGCGAAACTGTTTATTTTTGTGTATTCTAGTTACACATAAGTGAGCAATTACCCTGTTTTTACTTTGAATTGTTTACAACTTGGCGTAACGGAGAGAGGGCATTGCCGCTGCGTGGTTATACTGGTAGCTTTGTTAGAGTCTCAAGGAATAATTATGTTACTTAATTAAGCTTGGACTTAGAATTTTTAATCAGTGTGTCCTTAGATCCTACATGACCTGAAAATATAATTTTTGCTTTTATTTTTTATAAATTCAAACCACAGCAAGGATAAAACTGGCATCTGAGGAACATGTTTACTGAATAATTTATACGTGAAGTGCGTATTTCTAGTGGAGAGTCTGCCACCTCCTTATCTTCATGAAAATGTTATTGTTTTGTCTAGAATATTCCACAGTATAGATTAAACTTATATCACAAGGGAGACAAGCAGGTTACAGCACTACACTTATTTCTTATTAATTTATTTGTAAAGGGACAGCACATATTAATGAACATTTAAAATGTAAATATGAAATTTCCATCTTTCAAATCATCTACAGAACACAGGAAAGTACAGAACACCAGCACACTCACTATTACAGTTCATTTAAAGTTTGAAGTCCAGAGTTAAAGAGTTAAACATGTTAAAATTGTAATTTGGTTAAACATAGTGACATATTTGGCCATTGAACAACCACTGTTTTAAACATTTAGAAAATGCTGCAAGTGTTGAAAGCTCCCTTATGAGTGAATAAATGAAAGATGGACCATTCCAGGAAAGCAATTTCATCTCCAAAGTGGGTACCGGACCCTCCACCAGAAAAGGTATGCAGTGCACCTTTAAGGACTCGTCAAAACTGCAACTACTTTACATTTCTGTTCCACTGTTTTGACTGAATTCAACAGGTATTTAGCATTTTTGCACTTGAAACTAATGTTGTCAAGGAATGCTCTGATGTCCTATATGTAAGTTTTTAGTTTGTGGTCTGTATGTCATTAAACAGATCTACTTTACATTTATTCAATTACAGTTGGTTTTATAGCTCAGAAATACCTAGAAAAACAACATTCTGACTGTAAGCGGGGTCACCTCTCCACAGATCTGACCTGTAGCTTGGCCTGGTTTGGTTTCCATGAAGATAGAAAGGTGTAATGTCACTGTGAACCATTCCAGACAAAGCAATAACATCTCAGCGGAGAAAAGCATTTGACGGACTCTCCACGAGAAAAGTTACACAGTGCACCTTTATACTCTGATAATAACAAAACCATCTTTCTTAAGACAATAGAAGTGATAATCCCTCAGTGGTCTATGTTCGTAAACTGGTCTATGTGCTCTTATATGTGTTCTGATACAGCTCAAGATCATTCTAAAGCTGTTCAGAAAAGGTTCATTTCTGTCCTTGTGTCTGTTTTTAGTATGGATACCTGCTCAAACTCTTACTTTTGATAACCCTCCTTGAAACAGTGCATCTGGTCCGTCCATAGAGACAGTGATTCGATTTGCAGTTTATGTAAAAAGCTCTGCTGTGGATTGAAAACTCGTAAACATCATCTCGTCCACGTGAGCGCTGGGTGTTTTATGTGCTAATGTAACCACGGGATACCAGCACTGCTCCTGGCCACGATCTCCTCATGACGGGGAAGACTTCCAGCTTAAAGTGCGTGTGACAGGGTGTGATGATTCTCTCATTTCCACTTTATTTGGTGGGATAATACTTGGTGTAAATATAAATTGTAGTTTTGCACCAGCCAAGAAGCAGTTTGCGAAGAAAGGTAGAAAAATATGCTGAAACTGAAGGAAGTAGACAGTTCTAAAACATACTGGGGACTTAAAACAAGGAAGAATCCTATTCAAAATTAATAAACACATTTTTCTGATAGTAAAAATGTTATTTTCTTTTTTGGACTATAAGTCACTCTGGAGTAAAAGTCGTACCAGCCAAAAATTGCGTAATGAAGAAGAAAAAAACATATATAAGTCACATGGGACAATAAGAGACCAGGTACTGACATTTCACCTTGAAAGGCAAGTTCTGGTAATAACAGAACAGAGAACAACAGGCTGAACAGTTCTTCAGATAACTATAGCATAAACAGAACAGAACAAGTTTACCAAACTCCATCTCACTCCAAAATCACTAAATGTATTGAATTCTTCATCCTCGGTGTCACGTCTGAGCAACTCCGCGACCTCCGGAGGTAAACAGAGCGCCGCTTCCTCTCCTGTGTAGCTGTCGTCAGACTCGGCATCAGTTCCAGTTAGAATTATTCAGGCCTTTCTGAATCCCGACAGGACGGTTTCGGTTGTTGCTGAAGTCCAGGCTTTGTCGATCCATCAAATGACAGGAAAGTTGTCACAAATTTCTCACTCCAAACTTTCTTTCTGCTGTTCGATTACTGTTTTTAGCTGCATATTTCACTACTTGCAGCAGGACAGCGGCTCTTTCTGCAGGAGACATGCACAGGAGAGCCAAGTGACAGTGGTACAGGAGTAACAGGAGTAGCAGGAGTATTAATATATAAGTCGCACTGGAGCATAAGTCACAGGACCACCCAAACCATGAAAAAAAACGTATTCCGTAGTCCAAGAAATACAGTTATAATTTCTGAGTACTTTAGATGAGTTTTTCC